CTGAGCAGTGTGAATTTGAAGTGCCTTGCTATTTCCTGATGTTTCCCTCACTGGTCAGAATTACAACTGTGACTGACCGGAGGTTCATTCTACTTGGCTTCTGTTCTCCCAAACGCTTACATTTTAAGGTCTTTTTTTCCAGGCATACGGGCATATAGCTTTCCTGTAATGAAAGCATAAGTCTTCAGAATTACGGGGAGGGAAACCTGCTTTCACATCGTTAGTGGGTGGATTGGGTTTTCATTCTGAGTTAAATGCCACACTGTCCTTTGAATAAAGCAGCCCCCCTTCCTCTTCTGAAACTAAGATGTGAGAAATCCACTTTGCTATATGTTCATTGTTTATATTTAAAGTATGTGTTTTTCTTGATGCCCCATAAGAGCCTTGTGGCAGTCCTTATTCCAGAGCCACCAGATTTGTGGCTTGGAGAGCTGAGGAACAGGAGTCGTGGGAGCACTTGATGAGCCAGGGCCGTGTTGTTCCCTTGTGGGTGGGGGCTGGGCCAAGCGCACGTCTGGGCCCAAGGACAGATCGTTCCCATCTGCTGTTTTTACCCCCTTTTACCTGAGGACTGAGACTTCCCGGGAGCCACCACAAGCACTCGGAGCTTGAGATGCCGGCATATCAAGGGAGTTGTGCTGGAATACGTGTGGCCTTGGAAATGAGGGTTGCCACCTTTTTCTAAATAACTGAGTCAGTTCTGAAAAATAGGCATAATCCATCTCAGAATCAGTGGCTGCTCAGTAACACAGCTCTGCTTAGAGTATTGAAAGTGCATGGGGAGACTAGAGTATGAAATTCAGAACTGGAATTTGGCTAAGTTGTTGCATTTAAAGCTTGAAAGAAGTATAAGAATTGCATAAGCTTAGGATCATGGTTTTTAATCTTGGTGGAAACTGTACAGTCAGTAAAAACACACCTTTCTGTACAAGAAATGACTAAATAGAGGAGAACTCTTCAGCATAGAAGGAGGTGACAGAGATGTGAAAGTCCATGAAATCATCACTGGCCTGGATGGTGTGAACAGAGAATAAAAGGGACAATGACTGACCACATTTGAGACTTACAGGAGAATCAAATTAACAGGTGGGAAGTACAGAGCAAACCAGAGAGGTGACTCCTCATGTGGCGTGTTGTTACACTAGAATTTCTTGCTGCAGGATGTTGTGGATACCCAAAGTTTCGGTGGTTCGGGGTGCTGCTGGACAAGTTCATGGGCTGTTTAATAAAAGGACACCCACACTGTCTCAGAGATTTCCTCAGTCACAAATCGTTGGGGGTTGGGAGAATATCCCGGGGAGGAATATCACTCTGCTTGTCGTACTGTGATACATTTTTATAGGTGTTTGCATTCCAGCTGGAGAAGGGACGTTTGGCCAGATGAACCAAAGGGTCTGACCGAGTATTTATCTTCTTATGCTCTAATGTTGTGTTCATAACAGCACCGGTTCCAGCCTCAGAATCCGTTGTCTGGAGCCCAGCAATTTGTGGCAAAGGATCCTCAGGAGGATGATGATTTGAAGCTGTGTTCTCATACCATGATGCTTCCTACACGTGGCCAGTTAGAAGGAAGGATGATTGTAACCGCGTATGAGCACGGGCTAGACAATGTCACAGAGGAGGCAGTGACCGCAGTTGTTTATGCTGTGGAGGTGAGACTGGGCTGGGCAGCAGTGGTGTTCTCGTCATACCGGCGACAAGAGGTTCTGTGTGCCGGATGGGGTAGCGTCCCTCAGTGGGGAGAGGAAACCTGCTTCTCTAATTGCCCATTTGCCTCAGGAGGAGTAAGATGAGAATCAAAGGGCTTCCAGATTTGTGGCATCATAGATGTAAAGTCATGGATTTCTGCCTGCAAGTGTTAATTTTGAAGTTACTTGCATTTGAAGAACTCCAGGCATGCTTAAGTAGCTGTTTCGGAAAATGCTGTTCCTGTCACTTAAAAGCAGGGACAGAATGGGAGCTCCAGTTTAAACAGTCCTATAAAAAATAAACCATTATAGGCACAGGTATCTGGCATGGAAGTGAAGTGACCGAATCAGGTAATACCTGCAGGTGAAGTGCCTGCTGTTGCTGGTTTTGGCCATCGGTGGTGCCTTACCTGACATATCCCGGGAATGATACAGCCATTGCTTGGAGCATTGATGCGTGGATGGCTTTCTGGAGTCAGGATGCGGAGGCCAACCTGAATTCCCCATCTGGGAGTGAGGCCAAATTAAGCAGCAATTGTCTGCCTGTTTTTTTTCAGGCAGGTGCTTCTCCAGCACTTTCCAGGCAACTGAACAGTCTGAAAAAGAGGAGTTGAGTGGCTTTTCACTGTAGTTTTGGGGCCAGTGTTTCAGTACAAGTGTAATATCTAGTGCCAGTTTATGAAATTTCTTAACTCGTTATCAAAGGGATCAGGGGTTGGGAATTTCCTAGCATTTAAGAAACCTCTTTGACATTTGAAGCAGCACATCACGTATTAAAGTACAGTTCACAGGCTAATGCATACAGTACTCTCATGCAGTGCCGTGTTCTCTGTATCCAACTGTATCAGATAGTGACAACAGACTGTAACTTGTCCAGACCTTGGTTCCCTTACATCTTTAGGTCCTTGTGGTCATAGCAGCACTACTTCCGTCTTGCCAATTGGTGAGGCACTTCTCGTAGCTGTGGCTTGGTAGGGCGAATAAACCGGCATGTGTAATAAGGTTGTTTTTCATTCCAGAACCACCTTAAGGATATTCTGACATCTGTGATATCCAGGCGGAAAGCCTATCGTCTGAGAGATGGCCATTTCAAGTATGCCTTCGGAAGCAATGTTAACCCTCAGCCATATCTGAAGAACAGTGTGGTGGCTTATAACAATTTAATTGAGTGGTAAGGAGCTCTCAGCACACTGCTAATTTCAAATGCAATTTGCTAGTCCCGAAGTTACTCCATGGTTCGGTTTCTCTTTTTAATTAGTAGAACCTGTTAATAATGGTGCTTAGCTTTCACATGCTAAGAGGGTATCAGTACGGAGGACTGTACAGCTAGACAGGGAGGGAGAATACGGGGATTTCTCAGCGGTGTTAAGTGTTTAGGACAGTGTTAAGTCTCTCTTCCTTGCCTGTGCTTGTCCATCAATTTACAAAGGTGACCCTTGGCCCTTTGAATGTCCTTAATAATTATTGCTTTTTGGAAGCTGTAGTGAGAGAGACAGGAATTTTGCTGCTCGTGGGGAAACTGCCCCTGGGCAGAAGAGCCCTGCCTCTGTGGGGGCACTGCTGTTGTGCCACAGGAATGAAATGTCAGTGAAGACCTATGGAACCTGCCATCCTGTCATTTCCTGCGTCCAAATGTATTTATGGTTCCTTGGCAGGCCTTTTCAGTTAGCAGAGCTTCAAGGTCGTCTTGTTTTCCAGAGTCTCAATGTCAAACAGCTTGTGCTGCGCATCTGGCACTGTGTGTGTATCAGAAGGCAATTGTGTTTGTCTATGACGGCTTCTAGCAGTTGACAGGAGGTGTGGGTGTTTTACGATTCGATTATAGCGCTACAAATGCAATCCACTCCAAACAACTCTGCTTAACAGCTAACTTCTTTCAACTTGATGTTGTGGGTGCCTTAATTTTTAAGCTGGGTAGAAACTATTGGCTGTAAATAACAAGTTGCCCAATCGAGATCAGTTACAAACCAGGTCTGAAGCATGTTGAGGATTGGTTTGCCCTACTTTTATTAAACTGGAATTTTAAAGAGATTGTAATTACAGCTGAAATTATCTTATGTACATAAGGGCTAAGCCAATTGATACAGAAAAGCAAACCCTGGGGCCACGCCCCTCCTGTGTGACTTCCAAAGGTGGTGCTGTTTTCTTGACTGAAAGGTTTTGCTGCCTGCTCTGTCTACAGCCCTCCAACCTGCACGACACCTTCTGCCGGTCAGAGTCTGGCTCCCCAGCCCCCGCCCGATGATGCTGAGCAGCAGGCGGCTCTCCTCCTGGCATGCTCTGGAGACACCTTACCAGCGTCCCTCCCGCCGGTGAACATGTATGACCTTTTTGAGGCATTACAGGTAAGCTGTTCATGTTACCCTGTTGTGTCACAGGCAGCGCTGTCCTGAGCGCCAGCTACCAGTCTTGGATTGGTTTACGTGGATGGATGGGGATTTGATTTCTCCTCCTACAGTCTGTTTCCTTCTTTCCCTCTCAAATTTACAATTCTTTGGCTTTGACTAGTTCCTGCTGTTAGGTAATGGTTAACATACAGTCAGCTCATGGTTTAATGCCTGTTCTGCTCCCCTTGGTCAGAGAGTCGATGAGGATGAGGAAATTCCTGTCTCTTCTTACAGCTACGTAAGAACGGTGAACTCTTCCTCTGTAGCGAGACTGCAGTGATTATATCAGAACTGAGCTAGACTGAAATTTTGACAGCAGTGCAGCAAAATTACTTGCCTGGCATGCCCCTTCTTACTCCTCATGTTCCACCCTGGGTACTTAGAGGAATACTTGGTCCTGGCATGCAGGCTGCTGCAGTGGGTTAGCTATAATCACCTCAACCCTGAGGAGGTTTCTAAGGTAGGCTGGATGAATCTTCCTGTTGAGATGCATGCCTGTGGTTCCCTCCCTCTCTGGCAGCTCTGGGGACATTCAGACTACTTTGAATGGCTAAAATTAGCTGTGAGAAATTCCCCCTTGATCTTCGCTATTGCGAACAGGCCTTGGGATTTTGTCTCAAGGCTGTGGAGGCAGACCGCTCTTAGAGCTGTAATCAAGCATTCATCTCATGTTTAGTCGGATGGAGTTGTTGTTTGTAAGGTTTTGATGACAAATTGTTGTTTGTCATTGCAAGAGCAAAACGACGATTTCTTTACCATGCCGCTCCCTTACAAAATGGCGTAACAGGTGGTTGTTCCGTGCTGGCTGGTGTGGCAGTGCTCTGCATGGCTGGCTCTCTGATTGTCCTGCTGTAGAGGGAGGTTCTTCCATGGGAAACATGGGGAAATGCGTATGAAAGCATGAAACTTGTTTTCTAACGTGTATCTCCAGGTGCACAAAGAAGTTATTCCTGCGCACACTGTCTACGCTCTAAACATTGAAAGAATTGTCATGAAACTCTGGCATCCAAACCACGAGGAGCTACAGCAGGATAAAATCCATCGCCAGCGCCTGGCGGCAAAGGAGGGCCTTCTACTCTGCTAGAGCTAGGCAGCCATGTCAGGCCTCAGGTGGCTACGGTGCTGTTCCTTGGACTTGACATTCCGATGCTGCTTACAAACCTGTGTCAGCATTTCAAGGATGACGTAAGTTATGAGTCAACTTTTCCTATGGAAATATGACTGAGTTGTGGTACACTTTCTCTGCTTCCCCAGAGTCATGTGCCATGGAGTGCTTGCAGCAATCCCACAGAATTGGAAAGGAGAAGCAAGAGATTTGTTTGCAAAGACTGTTTTTTAAGAAAAATAAATGTGAGGGTGGAAAGTGTTGGTTTTAAATAAGGTGTATTTGTGTTTTCTGTTATGAGCACGGAGAATCCGCCTCCTCGCCCTCCCCTCTCAGGTAGTTTCCCTTCTGAGCTCAGTCTCCAGGGGCCTTGTCCAACTTCTGTTGCAGCTGGTGGGATCCTTTTCCATTCATTTAACTGGAAACAGGGTGGGCTCCTGTGAAGTGAAGGTGAGCAGTTCTGTAAGCTGACATTGTTCTTCTTCTACCAGGGGAACTTCTGATGAGAAACTCTGAGAAAGCAAGGCAAAAAGGGAAAGGTCCTTTATAGCCCGTCTTTTGAACTGTTTTGCATCACAAAACATGAAGGTGTGCGCTGTCCTAAGAACCTCTCACCAGTTATCAAAACATGCAATAAAATCAGGGTTGTGAGCAATGTTTTCCTGTCAGCCTAGTCCTTGACTCACCCCTGTCTTGTAGTTGTGATCAGATGTTCTGAGTTGTTGGACCTATGACAAGAGGCAACGTCTGTGCCTGTCAGTACAGCTAACGATTTAGCTGTCCCAGCAGGCAGCTTGACCATCCGTGAGGTGGGACAGCAACTCCGGAATACATATACCAATTCACTGTCTTAGTGTTGCAGACTCCTTGGATTTGCAGCATGAATAAGATGTCTTGTACCACTTCAGTGTAAAAATACGCAGCCTTGTATTATTTCATTGTAAAAATACGCAGCCACACCTCTCCACATGGGGAGCCGTGCAGATCACTGTGTCTAAAAGGGGAAACTCCACCTGCTGTGTTTCAGTTACTCCACTGTCTTCCTGAGTCAGTTGCATGCTCCTCAGATGCTGAAGGGAACAGGCTTATTATAACATGAGAATTCTATTAAAATGTCTTAATTACTATATTACCTGTTTTTAACCACACCTATGGAGGTACCTGCTGAAGGATGACTTGGCTTATTGTGCCTCCAGATAGTGGAAATGAAACAGCTTCTTCAGGGAGAATATGAAAGGGAAAGCTTGTGGTTCCCCTCCATTCTAGTTTTCCTCTGTTTGGGAAGTATTTGGATAGGAGAGCTGTCATCTTTCCCCTTTCCTGTGCAGTTTCCTTCTCTACTGTGCCCCCAGGACTGAAGAGGGTGCAGGTCCCTGATGTTTCCTCCCAGTTACCTCTTTTATAACTTCCTTTCTCGACGCCCGTGACTGGTCATGTTGGACCAGAGTTGTAGAAAGGGGCTGTGCAGCTGTCACTGTTCCTGGCTTTCCTGCATCCCCTTGTGGGATGTGCTGTGGAGGTAGGCATAGCAAGAGGCAGTGCCTGTGCAGCTGTCAGTGGCTGTCATTATGAGAAGACCATTGGCACATGGAGGACAGGGAGGTGATTCGAGACAGCCAGCATGGCTTCACCAAGGGCAAGTCCTGCCTGACCAACCTAGTGGCCTCTGTGATGGAGTCACTGCATCAGTGGACAAGGGAAGAGCTAGGGAACTGGCTCTCGTCTACCTGGACTGCTGTAAGGCCTTTGACACAGTCGCCCACAATATCCTTCTCTCCAAATTGGAGAGAGATGGATTTGATGGATGGACTTTTCGGTGGATGAGGAATTGGCTGGATGGTCGCATCCAGAGGGTAGTGGTCAACAGCACAATGTCCAGACAGAGACTGGTGACAAGTGATGTCCCTCAGGGCTCAGTACTGGGACCAGTACTGTTTAATATCTTCATCAATGACATAAACACTCACTGGGATTGAGTGCACCCTTGGCAAGTCTGCAGATGACACCAAGCTGAGTGGTGCAGTTGACACACCTGAGGGACGGGATGCCATCCAGAGGGACCTGGACAAGCTCGAGAAGTGAGTGTATGTGAACCTCGTGAGGTTCAACAAGGCCAAGCGCAGGGTCCTGCACCTGGGTCGGGGCAAACCCCGGTATCAGTACAGGCTGGGGGATGAAGGGATTGAGAGCAGCCCCATGGAGAAGGACTTGGGGGTGCTGGTGGATGAAAAGCTGAACATTAGCCAGCAACGTCCGCTCGCAGCCCGGAAGGCCAGCCGTATCCTGGGCTGCATCAAGAGAAGCGTGGCCAGCAGGTCGAGGGAGGCGATTCTGCCCCTCTGCTCTGCTCTGGTGAGCCCCCACCTGGAGTGCTGCGTCCAGCTCTGGGGCCCTCAGCACAGGAAGGACAGGGACCTGTTGGAGCGGGTCCAGAGGAGGCCACAAAAATGATCAGAGGGCTGGAACACCTCTGCTATGAGGAAAGGCTGAGAGAGCTGGGGTTGTTCAGCCTGGAGAAGAAAAGGCTGCAGGGAGACCTTATTGCGGCCTTTCAGTACTTAAAGGGGGCCTACAAGACAGATGGGGACAGACTTTTTAGCAGGGCCAGTAGCGACAGGACAAGGGGTAATGGTTTTAAACTAAAAGAGGGCAGATTTAGACTAGATCTAAGGAAAAAATTGTTCACGATGAGGGTGGTGAAACACTGGAACGGGTTGCTGAGAGAGGTGGTAGATGCCCCATCCTTGGAAACATTCAAGGCCAGGCTGGATGGGGCTCTGAGCAACCTGATCTGGTTGTAGATGTCCCTGCCAATTGCAGGGGAGCTGGACTAGATGACCTTTAAAGGTCACTTCCAATGCCAGCTATTCTATGATTCTGGGATTTTAGGGTTATGAAGAAGGTGGGAAAGGCAACAGCAGAGAACTACAGCAGGGCCTGGCAGGATGAGAGCAGTTGTACTTGGTAGGTCATGTCTCTTAAGGTATGGCAGGGGAGTGGGAGAGAGGAGATGAAAGATTTCTTTTGGTCCCTTTCTCTCAACTGCCATTTTTTCTGTATTTAAGCATACATAGCTGTTCAGAGTGAGCCTTATCTTAAAAGTTGACCCCAGTGGCTTTTACATTACAGTTTTTAAAAGCAACATTGAACCTGAGTAACTGTATGTGGTGAGATCATCAAGTCACCCGAAGTATGGACTCTGGGGTGTGGGAGGGGGATTTCCCAGATAATTGTTATGCTTCTGGTGTAAAATGAAAGCATTAAGTTTGTTTGCTAGAAACTTTGGGGCAGCTCTGAGGATTTCAGATCTGAAGAAAGCACGCAGCCTCTGACAGCATCACAAGTGAGTTCTGAAACAAAATACTAAGTATGGCACAAGAAGTGCCTCTCTCCTATTTGCATGTGCTAGGGGGAAGGCTCTGCAAACAGAGCCTCATGTTCTGAAGAGCTGAGTCATCTATTCCACACTGAAAAAAAGTGGGTTATTTGGGACACCGGCTAGACAACAAAGGCTTGAATAAGGAAATCCTGTCAGCCCCATTTCACAGATCGGAAAACTGAAAGGCACATGTTCTCAATGCACTTTCCCACAAAGTGTGAGGTCTCGTGAGAAGTGAAGCTTCATAGACTTCTGGAGTAATTTACCTGGAAGGGATGTCTGGAGGTGGCTTTGTCCACCCCCTGCTGAAAGAAGGGTTAAGTTCACAGTTAGAGCAGGTTCTCTGTCTCCAGAGGTGGGACCAGAGAAGTGGTGGCATTTCCTATTCCAGTGTGTGACCATGCTGATGGTGAAGGTTTTCCTTGCGTCTCATCAGAATTTCTGATGTTGTGCCTGTTGCCTTTCAGCTTTTCCTGTGTGTCTCTTTGTGGCTCCCCATCAGAGAGTAGCAGATAACAGTAAGATCTCCCTTTTGCCTTCTCTCCAGGCTGAACAAACCAGGCTCTTTCAGCTTCTCCTTATACGTTGTGTGCTCCAGCCCAAACCATCTTGATAGCCTCTGCTGATCTTGCTCTGGTACATCACTGTCCTTGTGCTGGGGAACCCAAACTGGACCCAGCTCTCCAGATGGTCTCAGAAGTGTTGAGCAGAGATGTAGGATCCCTCCCCGTGTCCTGCTGGCTGCGCTCCTGTTAGCAGTTGGCCTTTGCTGCGCGGGTGCGCTGCTGTTTGTCCACCCACACTTCCAGGTCCTTTCCTCCAAAGCTGCTTTTTTGCCTGTTGTCTCCAGCCTGTTATGCTGCAGGGGGTTACTCCATCCCAGTGGCAGGGCTGTGCATTTGCCATTGAACTTCTTAAGGTTCCTCTCAGCCCATTTCTCCAACCTGCCTAGGTACCTCTGAATAGTAGCTCTGCCCTTCAGCGTATGAACCACTCCTCCCAATTTGGCATCACCTGCAGACTTGCTGCTCATGTGCTCCATCCTGTCACCCAGGTCAGTAGCAAAGATATTAAAGCATAAAGAAGCCCCAGTATTGGCTCCTAAGTGTTGGTCCCAGTATTGAGTGCCACTAGTAACCGGCAGCCAGCTGGACTCTGAATCGCAGAGTGATGAGAGCAGGGTGATGGCACTGATAGGTATCACTGTCACGCTGGTGGCTTTCACTGTGGCATGACATATGTCTGTCTTCACTACAGTAATCAGCCCTCTAAAATGAATAAGACTGCCGAGTTTTAAAGCAGCAGCTCAAAGTAGCACTGAAATTAGTTTGGAAGAGTCTATCTTCTGCACCAAGATCCACCAAGAACCTGCCAGGTCTATGGCAAGCTGAGCTTGACCAAAACTGTTACTGAGAGATGTTAGCTGAAAAACTTAACAGTGGAAGCTTTCAGAGTTATCTTAGGCAACCTGTTGTGCTGTTTAGTGGTCTTCACCACTGAAGGCTTTTTCTACAGTTCTGCGCCTCTTGCTGCAGCTTAGGCCTAGAACTCTTTATAAATTCACCCTAGAGTATTGTATGGAAAGACAGAAGGGAAGGAATGAGACATCATCTGTCACATTCCTGGTAGCGAGAATTGCATCCTATGTTCTTAATCCAGTAGGAACTGTGCAATGTCCTGAAAGTTGCCACTTGGGAGCTTCTAGTGCTTCTGGCTTCCACCTCTAGATTTGCAGTGGAAAACCATTAGCCACCACATGAAGAGGGGAAAAAAAGTGCTTGAGAGCTTCACCAGGCTCACTTCATGGCCTGAGTTTGGGTGAAGATGGCCGTCTAATCTCAGGATGTGGTCAATGCCCCTGGGAGTGTAGGATGCAGAAAGAAAATATCTAAT